TGATGTGGGAAGTGGTGCCAGCCTCACGCTCTGCCTGTTTATTGCATAGAGATGGAAAAATCGTATGAATAGAGAGTTGAGAATTACCAGCTGCACTTCTGTCAACCACCCTTCAGTCTGGGAACACTGAACTGAACTCAAAAGGGCATGCAGGCATCCAAATATGAAAGAACACACGTGTTTCGCATCATGTGCACTGGATGCTGTTCCCAAAGAACACCACATAGGAGGTAGCATGCTTATTCTTACTGGTGTCATTTCAAAAGGCCCAGAAACCTCATTTTCAGTTCTCTGGTGGTAGGGTAGTATCTCTTCCCACTGATGGTAAGTGTTTCCATCTGCTTCAGTAGAGCTAGGAGTTTCCTAAAAATACAGGGCTGAGGTGACCATACCTCTTCAATTAATTTAATTAAGTAGTCAAGCACGTTGGCTTCTGTATCTCTGGCTTCCCCTAACATACAGGCTGTGCATTGTATGCACATGCTTCTTATGAATTCCTCATGGTGAAAACCAGATTTAAATGAAGAAATAGGTTTGCTGCATGGCCCACAGTATTTAAATTAAAAAAATGGATTAGCATAGGATATTACCTCATTATTGCTCGAGTTAACTCTCTAAGTAGTTTAAAGTTTTTGAAAAATTTATATATACCTTCAAGGGTTGGTTTATTACAGTATTCATAAACTTTATTTCTGTGGTTGCTTAATGGAGTGTTCAACTGAACACGTGCAAAAAGTCCCCATAATACAGTTCAGAGAGACAACATATTATGCCTTCATTAATGTATGGTGCTACAGCACAAAGCATACCAAACTCAAAGCTATAGGTTAGTCTACTCCCCTCTAAGCATGCATTTGCAAAACATATATTTACTCTTTAAGAGACAAAGAAAAAAACCCAAAATGTAAGAGCTGTGCTACTTATTTTTAGCTCAGGAAAGAGCCGCCTCACTTTGTTACATTAAGATTTTGATCTGTAAAGTCTAAAAAACCAAAGCTACTTAAGTGAAGTTTGTGCACATTCATAAAATTGCTCCTTACTAAAAGTTTCTGCATAAAGTGTGCACTGCAGTTTTATTTTATTGTCATGGCCTGATTTTCAAAAAACAACCCAAGCCCCACACAGTTATAGGGCATAGGAGCTGCTGGTATTCAGCATCTTTGAAAGTCAGGACACAGCTTAAGTGATTGGCAGGACAGGACAGTTCCCTTGCAGTGTAAGCCAAGTGTTCATTTATGCCCAATAATAAGACCACAGAAGTTTCATCAAATCAATCAAAAGAAACTTTTACAAGTCATACAGGATTTCAAGGATAACACCAATCGACCAGGCCTGAGTTTCACAGCTAAAAGGGCAATACTGTCCATTTTCATTGGTCAGTTCTGGAAGACCTTTCCAGGATGATCTGATAAAAGAAAAAGCAAAATGAGTATTGTTGTTAGATGATACACTGAAATTAAAAGAACATTTAATTTAAAAAACTTTCAGAAGATTATCTCAGTAGGAAACTGAAAACCATAACTAAAGGGCTGTTGTCCTGCAGGCACAGTATGTTCTTTAGTAACTGAGATCTAATTCAGTATTTTTTTTTTCCTGCAGCTGGGAATTGTAGGTTTTTGGGGGGTGCCTCCCCTTCAAAGTAGCCTCTCTGCTACGAATAGTATCTGAACTTACACTACTGGCATGTTGCTCCTGCTTCTCATTCAGCTGGTTTTGCAGTTGGAGGAATACGAATGATCTCTGAGACAACTGAATGGTATTCAAACTACACTTGAAACTGGATTATGGTGCTAAAAAGTGATAATGGCTGGAAGACAGCATGACTACATCAGCCTTTTATTCCTCCATAGGAATAAAAACCCCCACAGACTAATGTACTTGCAGAAATGCTCAGAAGTTGAGCCTGTTGCTACATTAAGAATTCTGTACACAAATGACATACCAAAACAGAGTAGAAGTACACCACTTTAGTAGTAAGACAGAAAAACCAAAGAACATTACCAAACGGTGAGTTGTTTGGTAATACTACCAAACAAGACACTGGGACAAGACACTACGTAAGGCAAAAAGTTGCTTAACAGATCCCTTCCTGATGTGGTCAGACAAACCCTTCTGTCATGACCAGTCCTACTGAGTTACTCTTACGGGTACAAATAAACGCATATTTGAAGGACTGCAGAACAGATTATATGGAAGAGACATCAAGGGCAAGATCTTTGTTTTGTTTGTTTGTTTTCATTTGTCTTAAATACTTGAGAATTAAAAATAGACCAAAAAAGGGGAAAAATAGTGTAGGTTTGGCGATTTGGTTTTTAAGAGGGAGAAATCAAAAGGCAAAGGAACATTTAAGGGCCATAAGCAAGCTCCTCTGTGTTCTTAGAATATCAAGGTTATTAAGATTCTGAAACACTGTCATACCAATTTCCTCATTTATAACACAAGAAATTCTAACAGTATTTTGCATCATCTTATCTGCCACAATATTAATCTGTCACTACTAGCCCTCTATTTTGTTTTGCAGGTTGTTTTGAAGTATCTTGATTTTTTTTTTTTTTTAAGGAAAAAACTCTCACCAACATTTTTTTCTGAAATTCATTTTTTGTATGAAATTAGATCCTAATTTGCACATAAGGTTTATTTCACCCAGCCTTCACATGGTTAAGTATTAGCAGTTCTGCAATCTCTAAAAAGCACTGGATCTCAGCTGTACTTGGAACCTGACTTGAGATCTGCAATAGCACATGGAGCTGTGAACTTCACATGTAGAAAACAGATGCCGTTTGTATTCTAGATCTGTACTTTTACATGCAATTGGATAGTGGATACCACTAGCTTGAATGAATACTTTGAATCCGTGTTAGCTGGTGTCTTACCTTTCAAGGTGAACATAGTGGCGAGAAAGAACATTCTTAATCATAACTACAGTTTTTGCATATATCTCTGGGCCAATCAACTTTGAGAAGTACAGTTTGGCACGCAGAAAATATCCAATTGGCCACAGCCATTCCTAAGCAAAAAATGAAAAGATATTATTATTACTGTCAGTTTGAAAAGGTGACAGCACTTTCTCTAAAATTGAAGAAACTGGCTCTTACAGGTCCTTGGTGATAATTAAAACCTCTGGCTACATTATAGTTGTCATTGTCAAGAGCATTATCGTATACTCCACAGTAAACCATATCACTGCAAGACAGAAAAAAAATAAATTATGCAAACAAAGCCTTAAGAAAAACGATACATAAAAATGTAAAGCAGAAATGAACAAAAAATTTGTCAGGGCATTTACATTTAATGATGGTTAAGTTAGGGAGGTCTCCACCACGTTCTGTATTTTACATGACAATGGAATTCCAAATATGGTTTAAACTAGTAGGAAAATGGTTAAAGTTTTGGCATGACTTGAATTCATAATTTTGCCCTTATGCTTTTACTCAAACTGCAGTGCTGTGCACTGTATCATATATAAGTATGTAGCAAGACGCAGATTCAACATCTTTTACTATACCAAATTTGACTTGCTTACTGTGCGGCCTCCCAGAACACCTGGTGATTGTCTACATAAATAAAGTCAATTGCACAGAGTTTTAGAACAGCAAAATAATCGTTCCAGAAGTATTTGTTGCAGCCTTATTTCACAGGTATATATGAGGATTTTAACAAAAGAAGTACCACCCCCACGTGTCAAGTAATTCCTACTGTCATGCTTTGTAATTAACACTTAGTCTCACTGCTACTATACTTACTCTGGGTCTAAGGTTTTCATGCCCAATGGACCAAGCAGTTTTTCCTCTGCTATCTGCAGAGCTTTCCAAGCTCTCTCAGGTGTGAATAACTCAGGCGCCTAATAAAATAATAAAGATTTGATGAGTAAACTCTGCGCATGTACACACACAAGACTGCGTATACAAATGTAGAAGACCACAAAAAGCCTAAGTTTTGTATTACTGAATCAACTTCTGGAACCTACAAGTCAGAGTAAGCAAGAGGACAGAAGCTATCCAGGGCTTTTTTTTTTTTTAAATGTTAATTTAGTTTTATTTTAACTAAACTTGCCAAGTATTATTAATGAAGCTCTTTAGAAACCCGACAAAAACAACAAACAACCCATGCTTTTTAGCTAATTTGACGGGAAAAGCAGCCTCCCAGACCTAACCTTAGAAGGCGTTCAGAATACAGTGAACACTGCAAATTTATCCTAGCTCTGTCAAGGATGTATTTTTAGGAGATACTCCAAGATGGACGAACATTAAAAGCATAGAAAAGAAAAGCTTTCAAAAAGTTACTCTAAGCAGTGTATGTTCCTGATACAATGCCGTGCAGATGAACCTTACAACGCAAGCTTAGTTCAACAGAAAAGAAAATTTTAAGTGCAAATGCTTCCCCCCTACTCTGCCTCACTTACCACAACCATTGCTATTGTAAAATTTGGCCTGAGCTGGTAATCACACCATGGACTTGAAGCTCCATAGCTGTCCTTATAAATTCCACGCTTGTGAACGAGATTTGGATGTTTCTCATTAGGATCTGCCGGGTTCTCAGAGACAAAGAACAGCCTTTCAAAGTGTCCTTGAATTTTTCTGTTCCACTCATCATATGTGATAGTCTCCTCCTTTCCTACAAGATGTAACATACAGGTTTTATTTTCTGAAAACAGCTGCAGTGGTAACACTAAAAGTATGCTTATGTCTATTTTTACTGTTTCACTTATTGAAGTTTTACGTGAGATACTCCTAACACAATAAAGGCCACAGTAGCATTGTAAAAAGTTATTATCTAGAAGCTGAATTATACTACAGATCAACTCCAACACATGCACAACTTTTTTACACAACATTTTCTAACTTGCAGTTAGCTAGAAGGAAACAGTATGAGGTACTGTGATATACAGTAAATATTTAATTGAGTAAGTTTATAATTAATATTTCAGCACAGTAACACATCAACTCTTTTTTAGTACTTGGTACACATACTCTTGCCATTTTGGAGACTTCAAAGAGAGCATCAAAACATTAGGATAAGTGCCACTTCTAAAAGCTTTCTCTTCCTGAATTCCTGACACCTAGCATAACAGGAGCAGACCTAGGATCACCTCCCTCCAGCTGGTCATTCCCTATGCTTAGGCCAATTCTACAGTTCACAGAACAGCTCACTGAAACTTCAAGTGAGACTAGAAATACATCAGGTTTTAGTCAGCAGAACTGTGCTAGGGATATCTTCCTGACTGAGATACACATGCATCTTAAATAAGCAACGCTTTTATGAAAGCACCAAAAATAGTACATAATCGTACATTAGTTTTGTATTAGGTGAGTACAGGAGTATTACCTGTTTTTCTTAAATTACAATTGGAATATAGCAAAAAGGACAATACTACCAAAATTGAAATACGCTATTGCTAGAAGAATAAAAAGCCTAGAAACTCTAACACTAAGCCTATTCTTAAGAAACAATGTGTAAGTCATGAATAGGAATTCAGGCTCATTTTAGAATAGATTCAACAGTAGATGAATGAAATTTAAAACTCCGTTACACGAGATTAACAACAGAAGGGAGTATACACACATCAAATTGAATCTAAAAAAAAATTGCTTATGATTCTGGAACAAAAGAGATAAGACAAGTCCTATAAGTATTATTTCTACATCTATAGATTATAATATTGCTGTGCACTGAATTCTAAATTGTCTTACTGTAGCCATAGATTTTAAGAAATCCTGAACTGACAGGTAAGTTCATGACCTAAGAATCTGTACTGTCTAGGACAGATAGAAAAAAACCCGAAACAAACCAACCCAAACCTCAAAGCAAAACAAGTTACATTCACGTTTTCTAAAACAGATTAAAAGAACCATTAAATTAATAGCTTTCCAATATGATCATTTACTGAAGCGTAAAAAGGCTTTACAAGGCATGTATATTCACTTGGGCTGGGTAAGCTCAAAATAAAGTAACTTTGTAACCAGAGCAGTATCCCTCTGAAACATAAGGGACATCTAAAGATATTTATGTGAATATTCACAAAAAGTGGTTTTCTATGTTCTGCATGTCGAAGGGGAAAGGGGGGGGGGGGGAGGGAGAAGAAAAGTAGGGTTTTTGGAAGAGGGGGGGGGGGGGGAAGAGAGAAGAAAAGTAGTGTCTTGTGTCATTTTACTTAGCATTCTTGTAATGAATGATGTGTATCATCATAATACATAATATTCCTACCACTTATATCCACTTTGAGAAACAGTATTTAGGCTCCAAAATTCCTTTGTAATCCACACCTTAATACATGGAATAAAACATTTGAAATATTGACAAGACGATACCAACTCTTAATAGATTTTTGTAGTAACAAAAGATTTTAATCATACAAGATACTTTCCCAAGTTTTTCCCCTTTTCCCTCTAAACTTTCTTGATCCCTGATGTTATAGGGTCACCACTTCATCATTTTAGTTATTTTTATACTCCAGTAATACAATTATGAGATGTGCCTGTTTTTACCATGTCTTTTTACAGTGACTCCACGGAACGGAAACAGGTTTTTCCCAGATAAATCCAGCAACCAGCGAACAGCTGACTTGCACAGGCCAACAATTTCCACAGCAGAGCCATCTCTAAAATAATAATTATTAAAAAAAAGCCCAAGAATTACTTTAAGGAGCCTATTAAAGTTCAGTAAGTAACTGAAAAAAAAAAAAAAGAAATCTGTACGTATCTTATTTAGACACTTTATTTTTCCCTATTCTCCTACTATATCCCCTACCTCTCCTATATGAGCATCCCAAAGTTCTACAGCATTGCAGTGTTTTGTGAATCCATCATTGTCATCACTACTGTCATGATTTTCTGAACTTCAGCCATAGCGCTCTTGCCCATAGTCTCTTGGAAGAGTCCTTAGACATTCCAATGTCTCCTTGCAAGGCAGCCACTCCCTCCCTTTGAGTTTTAGCTGCCCTTCTCTGTACCATCCTTCGTTATGTCCTCCTTGAGACCAGCACTACGTGTAACACTCAAGACACAAGTGCATCTTGCAGGTGCAAGGTTTCACAAAGAGGCAGAATGATGCCCTCTGTCTTGTTCTAAAAACCTTCACTGATGACACCCAATATTATTATTTTTATTAGCTTTTTTGGCTGCTGCTGCACACTAAGGTATGATTTCAGAATGCTACCAATGACTAAGATTTCCTTCTTGCGTTGTAGCTTAGTTCCGATAGCATTGTGTAGGCACACGGTTTAGACTGTTTTTCCCTTAGATGTGTATCTTAAGCTTCAGCGTAGGTAAAGTTATCTGCCACTTTTAGGCATGCTCAGTTTTATAGGGTACTTCTGAGTTTCACAAAGGGCCAAGAATAAGGGAAGAGAACATTAGCATAACCAGACTGTGTCACTTTAATCAGTAGGATTCCACCTGATGAAGAAACAACAGAGGGAAGGGTGGAAAACAGGTGAGGTTTTTATCAGCTAACAGTCAGGGAACAACCTTGACTGTACACTGGCTAACAGATACTTTTTTCTGTACAATAGACTAATTTAAAGTGATATTATCATACCCAGCTAATTTGCACAGATTTAAGATAATTTTATACTGGTGATTAAGAACATGAAAAAAGGATCAGCCCCAAACAACTCGATCCTCTCATGTTAAAACTGTTCAATACAGAGGTTCTCATCTGCGCATGCACTTTAGTAACTTAGGTAATATTTCTGCCGTGATAGATTACTCAACTCAAAAGTGAAGCATTAAAATAAGCACTAAATGCACTTCCTGGGCTTGCTTCTTTTTTCAGGCGATATTCAGATAATCATCATATGCCTAAATTTCATATTATAATATATTGAGTTTTACTGCCTGCTTGATGTAAAATTTTTCTCTGGCATCACCAATTTAGCCTCAGTGTACCTCAACCTCTCTTGGTTCCCAATTAAACTGCCTGACTTGTCAAGCAAGATGATGATTTCCTTCAGTTCTCGCCCACAGATGGCAACAGATTTGAAACTGATGCTGCAAGGATGCCTGCAGCAATTTCCTAGCGCATAGTAAAGAGCTTATTTTTAAAGCATTTAATCTCAACTCTAAAAACTTAGATGATGTAGATATTCTTGAATTTTAAGCAAGTAGTATTCAAACACTCACAACAATTATCAATAGGTATCTCCTAAAATAAGTCTAAATAACAGAGTACTGCTAGTACAAGTATACTGTTTTTCCTAAATTACATTTTCCTACTTGAATTCCAAAGTTGACTCTGCACAGAGCTAAGACCACGCCAGAAGCCGAGGTCTTCACCTGCTAAAACACACACCTTTTTTCTACAAATAAGCACAAAGAGAAAAAAAATTTGCCATTACCATTTTAGTAGGCAGAAACATTTAGAACGTTTGAGAGATCACCTCTCAGATGTGTTAATGGAAGGCATAGTAGTTCTGCAGAAGAACCTCCGTTAAAAAAATAATTAAAAAATCCCCCCCCAAAGCCTGCACTTTGTACCTTGGAGTAGCAGGAATTCCCCGGTTGCGAGCTCTGTCGCTCTCTCCCATTTTATCCATCCAAGTGCCACAATTGAAGCGGTTCCCCCCATAGACAAAGCCAGTTTCACGGTCAACACCCGCAGTTACGTTAAAACCTGCCAAGCAAGAATAGCATGTGTGAAGTCTACGTTTTAAACAAAACAAAACCCCAACTGCCCCCCTGCCCTAGCCCAAACCTCCTAAATAAACAAAAACCACTCCAAACGAGATCTGAGGTGGGTTTCTGAAGGCAACTGTACTTTTTAAGTGAACTTTTATTTAAAGATAATTTGTATCGCAACATATAAGCAGTTGCTGATAATAAACGATTAGGCACTTTTTAAACATTACATGTATTTAAAGTAATATAGTTTTAGTTGCATTAAACGTAATTAATTTGTCAAAAATATACTCAATAGCTAGAGGCAAAGAGATATAAAATATAAGCATCAGCTTTTGAATTGCATAGCAAGTGATCTATATACGTTACCTTCATCTCTCATGTTTTGATCTATCTGCGGACCAGCATTCCTTTCTCGGAAATTTATGCCTTCCATGTGCCGTTGCATTGCTTCCTGTATTACTTCATAAAGTGGCTGATCCTAGATTGATTGCATGTTTGGATGATATGTGAAAGGCAAGATGAAAAACATGTAGAAAGGCTCTATCTAATGTGCAAATAGTAGCAATTCTTAGCCTCTAGTTTATCATACTTCAAAAGAAAAGCATCTAATATTTTTAGGAGCATCTTTGTCAATGGCAATACTTTGTATACAATTTTTTAATATAAACATTTTTTCAAGACAAAAAAGCAAAGAAAAAATTTAGAAGCTGATGGATTTTTTTTTTCCTCCATCCCAACCCCCTGCACCTGTCTAATCATGTGATGCAGATGTAGTGAGGAGTGCCTAAAATATGGAATTCTTGTCCTATAATCCAGTTTCACCATAAACAACAGATAGCAACAGGTTCTTGTAGCTAGAAAAATTACATTCTTTCACTAAAAATTTATAGTTGGGTTACATACTTAGAAGTGATCTTTACCATAGTGCCTGCAGGCTGAGGAGAAGAGTCATCTCTTGGGTACATCCTAGAAACAGGACACCTGAGAATGTCTAAGCCGTTTGGAACAATTTTACAGTAGTCCTGGATACACTGAAGCCACCACCATACAGCATCACGACAGTTGTATCTGGCATGTGTCCCCTGGCCAAGCAGATTGGGAATGAGACCATGTCTTAAAGTCCCACCAAATGCTAAAATGATGTTTCTAGAACAAAAGAAAAAACACAGTCTTGACAAAGTTGCTTTCAAGGCCATTACTGGACCAAGCATTAAGTACAAAGTGTACAAGTTTACCTTAATAGCAAGGTTAAGTCAAGGAAACAAACGGGATCTTAGAGACAGATGCCAAAAGTTTGCTGTTGAAAGCTACACTTAGCGTGAACTTCTTTTACAATAAAAAGTCATCTATTCCCTACAAATTCCCCAACATGCATACATTTAAATCAGTTTGTATGAAACATATAACATCCGCTAATATGGAAATGTAGTTAGGTTTTTCATAGGTAGTGATACAAAGCCTAAATCCAAATCCCATTGCGGTCACAGGGAAGGTTTTTACTGACATTGTTTATGATTATCCTGGTATCCGTTCTACTGGGTGGGGTGGAATGGGGACAGAGCGCAGGAGTAGATGGGAATTTCCTATTAAACTACAGAGAGGTGACAGCAACTGAGGTTATAAGAAGTTTCATTTGAGAACTGTTGCACGTACCTTGTGGAAAACATGGATTCCAACTAGCTTTAAAAAGGAATATAAACATACTAGTAGACTGCAGATCTTACTGCATGAGAAAGGTAATAATTGGCCAAATGTACAACAGCATAAATACATGCTAATTTAAACCCACTAATTTTTATGTTTGTAACATGTCGTGAGCTCCAACCAAATTAAAAGATTAATGGAAATATCAAATCAATAGATCTGGCTTATATCTGGCTCATTTGTCAGATTAACATTTACAAACAGATATCAGATTGCAACAAGTCACAATTAGCTGATTTCTAGTATTAGTAGACAAATACTAGCCGGTACCATTACAAAAAAAAAGAAAAAAAAAAAAATCACGATAGACATGCAATCATACCTTTCTGACTAAAACAGCATTCTTTTGCTACTTCAAATTTTTAAAGAAGTTATTTTGAAATTATTGCTCCGCAACAATGATGCAAGTACACATGAAACAATCACTTTGTTTACAGACAAGCAGTAGTGTTACAGGGGTTAAAACTACCTTATCTATACAGAACATCAGCTTCATATCAGTGCTAAGAAAGAAAAAGAGAATCATTTAAGTAGTATTTTTAATACCACTTAGAGAGAACTCCCAAATCTGTCTAGGGCCATTAAAGTTTTACACTGCCCATCAACTGTTTCTGACAGCTTGCGCGTCATCTCAGCTTTTGAGAGCGTACCTTTTTCCTAACTACCTGCAAAACCAGTAAGAACTAAGCGTAAGTCGGTCTTACCTTGCTTCTAGGTAGCGCCCAGTAACTAACATTAGACCTCTCAGTGCAATAAAGGTATCCCTTCCCCAAGAGCGAAAAATTCCAGAAGAAAAGTGAGGTAAACCTAAAAAGAAATGTCATTGTTCATCTCATTTATTGATATGGCAGAAATCTCCAAGCACACATGTATGTATAAAATAACCAGAAGTAAAAATATATTCCCATTTGTAACTTTTTTCCTAGATTAAGATAACAATCTTTTAGATCAAGTCCTTGATAAAATGAACTAAAACCTCATTTTAGAACAATTACCTTCTAGAATTTCAAGATCATGCAACAGAATTTCTCATCTCAATAACACAGCCACATTGAAATTTTTATTAAATAACTTTGTACCTTAACCAAGTGCCATCCTTTGTTTAAAAGCAGCAGAAAGAAAACTAACAAACAAAAAGCCAGAACTACGACAAGATTTATAACGCTTTGTTGGCAAGAGTTGATGTACGAGAGCCGTGCCATCTCAGTAGCATAAAGGGGATAAGACTGGAGAGCTATGAATTTCTTCAGCCCAAAATTGTTCTCAGCCACTATAAAAGGAATCCTGCTTCTCTTTTCCAGCAGCTTCTAGAACTACATCTTACTGCAGACATTAGAGCATGTAACTTTAAGAATGATTCTGACTGATAAAGGATAATAATTAACAACAGTAAGGTCCATCCTTGTCTTTTCTTCCATTTATTAACTCTTCCACCTAACAAACATAAAATTCCATATGGTAAAGTTTCAAAACAGCAGGCTCTTGTGCATGCTTGACAGAACAACATTTTAACTTCTATCACTTACTTTTCCAAAGTATTTGCTAATACTCAAACATGGCCTCCACACCTCTGCAATTTTATAGTATATGGCAACAGCACTTGAGCATGACAATCCACGTACGAGTTAAAAAAATCTCAGACACAGCTACTAGTGAATACGTGAAGGGAATATTTAAAACCAAAGCCTTTAGTATAATTAATCTTTATGACAAATTTAAGGGAACATTGTGCCTCTGTGCTTCTAGGTTACACTAATGCAGGCAAGTGGAACGTTACTAAAAATGAGAAACTAAAAGCAGTAAAATTCCATGAGAGAAAGACAGACAGCAAAAAGAAGAAGAAAATAAACACCCCAGTGAGACAGATGCCATAGAATCTGTAGATGTTAAAAGTTTCTATGGTTTCAGAAAAGGAATGGGCCAACTCAGAACAAAACCAAATTCATTCTAAGCCACTAAACACAGAAGATAATACTTTTGACATAGGAAAGTGCCCAATTCAAAGACTGCCAGATGCTGGCAGAACATTTGGAAGTATAAACACTATTTGCTGACTGCTTTTATGCTCTTTCCTTTTGGAGACATTTTCAGATCAGGTGCTCTTCTGGTCTGCTAATGGTTCTTTCTTCTGAGGAGGAGTTGTTAACAATGAATTCACCCTCGTACTCCATTACAATTCAGTTACTGAATTCATGTTTAAAAAGGATAAACTAAAACCTATTATGCTAAGTATATTTATCTCAAGCAAGTCTTCTAGAAAGGAAGAGAACATACTTGTGGATCTCCATATATGATAAAAGTGGATATGGCTAAAACAGTCTCTAAGCAAAGTGTTTATAAGCTCCCCACCTCCCAAGAGCAGTAACAAAATGGTTGTCTCCAAGACGTACTGCTGGACAAAACTCCCCTATTTTTAATACGGGCAAATCTTTATCTTAAACACAAGTTAAGACACAGGGGAAAAGTGAGGAAAACTACTACCTACATTTTATACATGGTGGCTGACACATGGGTCCCAAGCACGATGGAGATAATTTTAACATAGTTACTAAAACCCGTTTAACTATTTTGGAAGACTTTTTCTTTTTTCTTTTAAAAAATGTTGTCCTCACTTACCAGCTGCCAAAGAAACACAACACTGTTCTTTCTCATTTGTAATCTCATTCAGCCTATAGGGAACATCATGTAAGGAAGGAGACAGATTTGGCAGACAAGAATATCTTCCTATCCCACACATCTGGATTGAACCCAAGGAAAGGTGTTTAACAAATGTTGATCCATTCTGCACAAAGCTGTAATTCAACATAATTAAATTAAAATAACTTTGCATTCAGCAATATCAGTCTATAAAATACACCCTTTTTCATTTACAGAAGATTATTATAAGTATTATGCATAATAAATACAATAACCAAACAATGAGTTAATATTAGTATTTTACATTAACTCATTTTGTACATAAGCTTTAATTTGTAAATCACTTTTTTCCCCAAAATGGGTGCCCAGTGTTAGCCTTAAATTTTAATTTATTAACGCCAATGAGAGTGTTACGTCAAATACTTCTAGGGAAAAAGAGTAAAAAAAAAAAAAGGGAATCGATTTGGTTTACTTGATGCCTACATACAGACCCAACACCTCAAAAATACGATAAAAGATATTTTACTATGAACACAAGTTTCTGTCAGACCTAGTCAGTGTTTTTAAAGATCGACACATTTTTACATACATATTCATATATATAAAAAAATTGTAAGCAATAAATCAGTTAACACATTGTCTAAAATAATGCAACCTGCATTCCTGACTAGTTCATCATGCATTTTTTCATACAACACACTACTTTCCACATGATTTCACAGACATACCAAATTCTATGCCCATTTTAACTTCTGTATTTTTACAAAATAATACTGATTTGTTCAGAATGTTCATAGCTAGAATAAAGCCTCCATTAAATCAATCTCCCTTCCGTTTCCAAGAAACCAAGGAGAGGCAGACACTGGAGATTAAACAGTTATTTCAAGAACTAAGCAAAGTGCTCGGATAATGAAGGATATTCAGCTGTGTTAGCGAAGAAATGTTGAACAAAGCATCAGCATGAAGTACAATCTGGTATTTGCTTTTTTGCTTGAACTTTAAGGAATCATTGCAGTTGTACTAAAATTATAGCAAAAAAGTTTCTGAAGCCTGGCAAAGAAATGCTGTTTTAAGGTTTCCTCCTCCTACTGCACAATGCCAACAGTAGTTGTAAATTCAAACCCCGGACAGACATCTGAACTCTCAATCTTCCAAGCCACCGCTGTTAGAAGATGGATTTGATATTCACTACCAATTTTACCCTTTTATATTGGACAAATATGAAAATATTCAAATTACATTCTCCAGCAGGTAAAACTTAAAAGGTGCAAATATATATGGATACCTCTATAGCTCTGATATGCCAAGCATACCTAGACATCTGATGCCATCCCACATCCAGAAGCGTTGTGTAGGCACCCACTAATATGGCATCAAAGTAACACGGGATGAGGTAACGTGGAATTCTCTTTAGGTAGACAAACATGGCCTTCAACCATTTACCAACCTGTTAAAATACAATATAATTAGAACGTGGTAACACTAGGGTTCAAAAACCAGTACTTTCAGGATCCACCTAGTTAAAGTATTTGTCACAGTTTTTGTACATTTATTACACCTAAGTTATGCTTGACCACCACAAAGATGAGGTTATCTTCAGTTAGGAATAACACCAGTAGCATGCAACCATTCATGTCTAAGAAGTTGTCCATGCTAGGTATTTGTGGTAGAATTGCTGTACCTTCCAGCACCAAAATTTCAGCTAAGAGATGAACTCTAAGAAAAGTAGTAGGGAAAAATCTGTACTGTTATCTGTACTATGACATAAATGGGCAAGAACATCAACTATAGAAAGAGATTATATTTTGCTAGCCTTGTAGGAAAAAAGATTATCATCACAATGAAGTTATTAAAACTGAGTAGCAAAAGAAAGCTGCATCACTACAACCCAAGTGTGGGAAGGAGGTTTTTCATTGCTTAAAAAGACAGGACTGAACAGATGAAGCTTGAGACCAGGGACAGAAAAATTATGAGAAGGCTAAATTATGCACCCCCACTAGTGAAAATGACTGCGAATCTGGGTCTAGGACTCAAGATTCTGGAGCTTCACCATCCCTGTGTCACTGCAAAATGTTTGACACCTGGGAAGTATTTCTCTTCTTTCCTTCTAGTACTGTTAAAGAACATCATGGCAACCTATTAGAAAGCCACTAAATATTTAAACCTTGCAGGTGAAGGCTGTGCAGATGAAGAAAGTATGTGTCAGTATGTTACGTGATGACACTGTACTTCTAACCTGGAAATTATGAAGGGAAAGTTAGTTATGTAAACAGCGAAATTGCAAAGTTTAGCTTCATGTGACTTCAGGATGGCTATGGGTACTTTACATTTTCTGCAAAACAGAATGAGACACTACAAAATAAGAACTCAAAAGAAAAACCCCACAGAAAAAATAAGGAACAGTCTTTGAAGAACATTAATAATGGCAAGTATCAGACGAACTTCCCTTCTAGAAAAGCTCCATCTCTGAGGTCAGCCTCAGCATTCACTTCAATCCAACATTAGGCTGCTTTATCCATTCTTCTGCTTTATATCACTACGCTTGATGTCCGGAACAGAATGAAGTGAGAATGCTAAAGCCTTTATTATTATATTTGTTATGTAAGTTACCCAAATCAGGTCTTCACCTTGTGAAATGAATAAAGCAATTGCTGTGCAGGAAAACAAAATATGACAAAGAAAGAAAAGGACTGTATTGTAATGCAACTATAGAGGTAACTTGAATCTCAGTAATTCCTAACTTCTCAGTGCTTGGCTGCAACCTTACTATATCATAATCATGGTTGCCTCAGTAGTATTTAGGCCCTCTTTTGAAAGTACTTACTTAAAAAAAAAAAGGTTACTTCATTTTAACTTGAGGAAAAGTAATAAACAAACAGGGAAGGACCCCTGCAGGCCTTTATGTGAGAGCTAACAACCCCTCCATGCCCTACATACTTCTCCCTTCCTTTTTGCAGTCTGTTCTCAAATAGCATTGAGGAGAGGGGAGAAAAACATATTAACAGTTTAATCTCCTAGAAGAAATTGCCCAGACAAGAAATATGTTATAGACAGACTGAACTTTTAAAATATACCAGTAATTGAAAAGGAAACAAACTAGTAATTTAAAGCCCCAAAGTCACCAAATAAGTGGTTTTACTCACTTCTGCACAGGCTCCTGCACGTGAAATCAGACGATTACTGACATAATCAATCATCCAGTCTCCCGATCTTAAATTATCACAAAATGGATGACCCAAATCATTCTTTGGTCTGATGTCTGCCATCACTGACATTAACCCTGAAGATACAAACCCAACTCTGTATTAAAGGACGCACCATTATCACAAACAGCAATTACAATGCAGGAGGAGGAGGTACACAGCAACGGATGCTTTAACTGGATTTAACTGTGTTAACTTCTCTTGATCTGCAGAATGAGTTAGCATACAACTCAGCTGTAGCTTCCTCAGCGTACATGCTAGACAGTTATGAAAAATCATTGTGCAATAACTAGCATGGTCGAATTCATACATTTGATAAATGATCGACACTCCTCGGTAATCTAGTAATGCCTAGGGTTTAATTAATGTGACTTTTCACTGGAGGTGTATGTATTTTCTTCTTATTTTAAAAGCAAGGGCATCAGTGTTAAAACACATATTGACACTTAGTTTTGCAGCCCAGAGTAACGAGAGGGAGGGTTCTTGGTTTAGTATGTGATTTCCTGAGTACAACACTGATTAATAGCATAGTCAAGCAGAAAAAACCTTACTGGCTTTTATCCAAACAATGGCACTAGCCATAAACCAGCATTAAAGTATGATCTAGATTGAGCAGCTCTATTTTACTTTTCTCTTCTTCAGAAAAAAGAATGCTGAAGCTATTACCTTGGAGGCCGGCATACTTTAGCGGTGACCAGTTTGGTATATTGTAACAACCTCCACCATCTTCTTGTTCTTCTGCCTCACACCTATACAGTACTTGATTGAGGTCAGCCAAAGTTAGTTTAGATGCAATACTGAAAAAACAGTGGAGAAAAAAAAAAATTCCAAACCCCAAAGCAACATTAATAGGGAAATAAAGAAAGGATTTCACAAACAATTCTCGTTTCAGACTTGTATTAAAATAATTAAACATATACAAGCCTCTCACCACTTAATCTTGGAAATTAAGAGCTTGATTTTTTTCAGATGTTCCGAGATGTTTTGCTCAGATGTTTTGGTATTTATTTAGAAACACAGTATTAAGTACAACCCCTGAACAATCATACCCTAACACTGACAAGCACTCCATGTCAGTAAGTCTACTTTAAGCAACAGTTACACAGAACATGAGCAAAAGAGCTTGTGAAGTTTTTAAATATTAACCCTGCTTAGTATTATACATATGAAAAGAAAATTTCAGAGTTTTTACTGCACTCTGACAATCCAAATCCATCCACAGTAACAGCAACAAAACCCCCTCACTTTAACTAACAGACTGTTCCTCACTCCCACTGTAGCGCTCTCGGTTCTACTTCAGAAACTTAAAGAATACTCACGAAGAAAATAACGTTTTTAATATAGGTGCTGAATGATCATCAGGAAGACTTCCAGATTTAAAATGAGGGCTGAACTGGATCAGATGATTGCGGAGTACACCGACAGCCTCTTGTGCCTTTGGGTCAAGACTAACTCTGTAAATATGAACACATAACTCGTAGAAATGTAGCACTTAAAATAACTATACCCAAGTTTCAAAACAAAGAATCCTATCACTCTATTTTAACAAACGCAGCCATTTGGCAACTATAATAACGTACCTGAATACTATTACACTTCCTGGTGTTAATTTTTCAAATTCTATTTCTTGAACAAATTCATTTGGCCCTTTTATGGCAGTTCCAGCTTGCTTTATAATTTTACTGTCTTTAATCTTAGAAAAGAAAACACATTTGCAACTGAAATTCAATGTCTTTTTTCTAATATAAAATATCACAAATTCCAAAATATTGCATCAGAACATGGGTGAAGGAGGCTAATTACCTGGATATGCTCTCTGAGTTCCATTGTGAAATTAGGCAATCCATTTATAAAACGTTCGTCTTTTTTGTAAGGGCTAGCACTTCTCTCAATAGTCCTAGCCTCAAGTACTACTTCTTCTATTTTTCCTAAGAAAAGTTAAATCATGTTGCAGCTGTTATGATACTTTAAATTAAAAGCAATCCTTTTGAAAACATGAAGCAAAACCTAAGACTAAAAACCTAAATATTCAAAATGCAAGCCTCAGTTGTAATAATAAATTTTATAATAAATGAACCATAAAAATCAGTCAACAATTAGTGAATTACAACCCGTCTTTTACTGATCACCAGCTCTGTTACCTTATTATCTTTCAGAAGACTGTGTTAGATTGATTTCCAAACTGCAACTACAGATGCTTTATCTTAAAAGTGTAAGAACTTGTATTAGTATTCAAATATTCTGATTTTCTCTATCCTTTCAGTAATCTACAAACTAAAGTATACAAGTCTTGCAGCCACTTGTAAATGTCTTAATATATAATGTGACTGACTTTAAAACAGGCACACACATACACTCAAAGAATTGAGTATACTTAAAAAGCCAGTTTGGAAAGCTTCTCTTTAGAAATATTGCCAGGTAACGTGTAGAAGCATTATACTTTGCTACTATTAAGTACAGTAAATACTTCGCATATCTAACTAATATTATGTATGTATTGCCTATAAATTATCTTTGTATTAATGTAGGCATTACAACATTGTTTCTTATTAAGATGTATTTTAAAACCACAAGAATAGTCATATATAAGAAAGCTGAACAGCAATGACATTAACAAGTATGGTAAGATTTTAGCCTTTTTCCCCAGTATAACACTTAATAACTATTAATGCCCCCCAACTCTGTACAATTAAGCATCTTGCTGTTAATTATTTCTTACCAGTTCACAAACAAGACAGTAAATAAAGCCACAGCCTCATGGGGAGCTTACAGCAGGAAGTACACTCAATATGAATGCCTCTGAAACCCTAAGCAAGGTAAGTTTGTTACTGTTTCTTTAACTATTTTTGGTGCATGCATATTAGTACATATAAAAGGAGTATTATATACTGAAAATTCTCATATTGATTTCATGTGTTTGAAGTTAGAAAGTATGGAATTAGAATAACTTGAATTCTTTTTTGTACACCTGCTACGTCTTGAAGTCTGATTACCTGGGATACACATTTCGGGTACTTCTTTACTGTAGAAGGAAGTTTTAGGATCCCTGAAAGCAGTTCGACTTACAGCCACAACAGACTGGTGTGTGTTCGGACAATGTCTTGTCACCGCCACTATATCTTCATCAACTTGATCTACGTACACCTAGAAAAGACATACCATTGCAACCGTGCTCACTCAGAACATAAACATGGAGCAATTGCAATGTTACCCTCACTTCTTGCCTGATTAAAGCCTTTAGCCCCCAGCTCCTGATGCAGCCTGTTTATGGCCAGCCTTCCTGCTAGAATTCCTGTTTGGAAATTAACTTCACCACGAGTCAGCTGTGCTGCTGGATTCCATTTTGCATAAAATCTCTCCTCAGATACTACAGAGATCTGTAAAGAAATTAAGATTTAAGCAAATATCAACTACTCTGGAAAAAAAACCAAAACCACCCAGCTGGAGGTCTCAACTATATAGTCAATTCAAATTTTGTATGAAATTGGACAATCTGAAGCAATGCCAGCTAGTAAACTGCTTGGAATTTCAAATAAACAATGTTACAATATATGTCCTAGGACAAGAATAAAGTTTACACTTTTAAAAGTAACTTCGGAGTTACTGTAGACACATACCTGGTGTGGCACTAGTTCATCATAGCCTTTGGTGCTTCCTGTAGCACAGCATGCCATGGAAACAATCATTGCACTAGGAAGAGCATCATATGCAGATCGGTGCTACGTTAAAAAAATAAATAGGTAATAAGTAGTGAAACAAAGACATAATTCATCCCTTGCAATTCAGCATACAGAAGATATACTCAGTTTAACACAGGAATTGCTAATCACATGATCATCATTTTCTCAGTCACAACAGCATTATTGAAAGAAATTACTACAAATGCACTAACAAAAGCAACTTCAGAGAAACCCTGAAAAATAAGCACTCCGACTCCCACCATCCTCTCTCACTCTCTCCTGTAAAACAGGAGCTTAGGAGAACAGGTTAACAGAGACAGAACTACTTATAGTAGGCTGGAATGAAAGAATCAAAACAGCTTGTTAACTAGCTTTATATACTTTTTCCCTTAAAAGACAAAATCTTGAACATCAGAGGGAGTTGGTATAAAATTTTATTCTCTACATGAAGACTTGAAGATCTGAAACACATTTTTCCTAAATATCACTCAGGAAAAACACCCAGATTGCGCCGAGCCCTCCCACGGTTCAGAAATATCAATTCAGAAAACATTAAAATGTAAACTTTGGTTTTCGGTTTAGGTGCTCACCTGAATTGGACATTCATTATCATGTGTAATATCCATAAACAGTGCATGAGCAATAGCTGGCATCAAAGGCCTCAAACGTGGCTGAACAAAAGAGCCAACAGGTTCACCTCCAAAACGATAAACTAATCTTCCCTCTTCATGGCTGTTATAAGCAGTCATTGCCTCTAAAGAACAAAATAGGTAAGTGTTTGCGTAAGAATAACTACCACAGAGTACAGCATGCACAAAGATGTTAATGCAGCATTTTACAGTTGTTATTCTGGTGTGTTTAAGCATTAAAAAAAATTAAAATAATAATTATTATTAAAAT